CTTTATACGTGCATTCGACTTACTTCCTTTCACGATTTTGCCAAAGTCTCGATGTCCACATTGACTTTCTTTACTCTCGATTCTGTATTTTTCGAGAACTTCGAATTGCTTACGATTCCTTTTTAACCCTGGTCTTATATGACTTAGTTTTTACTCGACAACAGTCATTTGATTATTATTCATTCGATTCTCGATTGTGCTTCTCGATGCTATATACTACGTATTTCTAATTAGACATCGAATGAATTTTTGTTTATCTTATCGAGTCACATTTATTTCCTTCGATTTCGATCGCTTTTCTCGATTTGCCACTAACACTATTATAAGATGAGATAATACAAATCTCAATGTAATGTCGTATACACGGAGGATGATACAGGATTCGTGGTAGATTAACAATATAAGGAATAATAACAAGATGAAATAATATATTATTAATAAATAATAAATAAATATATTTAATTATTGTTAAGTTTTGAATATAAAAATAGTTAAAATTTGTTGAGAAATAACAACATCTCACCTCATCTCTTAAAAAATCAATTACTAAATACTATCTATGTATAAAAAAAAAAAAAAAAGGATTTTGAATGAATAACCCAATTAGTCATCATAAACTTATCATATAAAAATGATCATTATAAATTTAAGTATCATTATAAATTTTTTATATTTACAAAATGAATATGACAAATTGTGATGAATGAATTACCAATGTGATAATAAATTATTTTTCTATTAGTGTTTTGACTGCGAAGGTATCTAAGAATATTCCAGATATGCAATTAAAAAATTTGAGTCATGTTTGTAGATGTGAAAGATTTGTTTTGTTTATTCTTAAAAAAAAAAAAAAAAAAAAAAAAAAAAAAACATAAGCTGTGCGACCACTTAATGTTGTAGTGGGTAAACAATTAATTAGATAAATAGTAGTTAACACAAATCACCTCAAAAATCTAATGACAGGTTAAACTATAAAAGCACATAGTATCCATGTTTACGCTTTAAACTACCATTTTGTTGTCGGACGTAGTAACCCAAATTAAAAAAAAATTAAAAATTTGTTTGAGAATTAAAAAGTCAAATACATTATGAGATTTTGGATTTTTTGAAGTTTTGTGTCGCATAAGAAACACTCGGATATTTCTAGAAAAATCACCAACCACGGTGAAAAGAACTTAGCACTAGAAGAATGATTTTTATTATAGATCGAATGTGTGAAAATGAACTAATATAATAAAACACACGTACATTTATTAAAAACTTATGTTAAAATCTTAAATATAAAATTGTATTGATAAAATCATAATATAAGATTCTAAGTTAAAGGAGACAATTTACTTTTTATACTCTCAACATATATATATATATATATATATATATATATATATATATATATATATATATATATATATATATATATATATATATATATATATATATCACAAAATAGTGTCAGCCGCAAGGTTCAAATATGATTATAGGATAAAATAATTTTTTAAAATATTTAGTAATAATTTTAACAAAATTAGGAGATGTAATTGTACACTCTCATGTATATAAATGTCTCTCACCGAATAAAATGATCGTCCGGTATAAAAAATGTTATCATCATAGATCAAATGAAACTTTTTTTTTTATTATTTCAAATTTTTTTAGTGGGGAGGTTTTTCTTTTATTTTAAAATTTTTATAATTTAAATGTATATTTATTATTATTTTAAAAATTAGATTAAATTAATTCAATCCGTTTAACTAAAAATCATTTTATTATTTTTAAATAATTAAATTTGAATAAAATTAATAAAATTGATATAAAATTAATAAAATCGAGAAAATTAATTAAATTTTTAGATTAAATCAATTTTAATAAAAAATAAAAAATTATATTTTTTAAATTGAACTCGATACTTTTTTGAAATGAAAAAATTTATAAATAAAAAGAAAATTAAACTAAATAAAAAATATTTTAATTCTAAATGAAACAAAATCTACAAATTTTACATTAGAATTAGACCAATTTTATTATTAGAGTGAGTTGTAAGATGAATATTTATTAGAAAATGAGTGTGAATTTATATTTTCATTCATAATTTTAGTCTTATGATTAAATATATTTATTTATATATTTATAATTTTAATTTTTTTATAAATATTAAAATAAATAATTAAATATATTAAAAAAATACTTTATATTTTTGATTTTTTTATTTATTAATTATATAACAAGTAGTAGGAGTAAAAAGTGATCCGAGAGGTGGTTAAATTTCCTGGGAAAACTTATTAATGAATAAGATAATGAAAGAACACGGAGGACGTTTTAGATTAAAATACCTGTTTTTAATAATAGAATGGAACCATGTGATGAACTGAAACAAATTATTATTGGGTAATTTAATAGATGCAGATATTTGTGTCCAATGAAAAAGAGAAAAATCAGATACCGTATCATTTATCTATTTTGCATTAAGATCTTTTTGGACATGCAGTTAATTTCATTCTTTGTGTGTTTTTTCAAATAAAAATAAAGACAAATATATATTAAATATGAATTTAAGTGTCATGTACTAAGAATATAAAATTGTTGTTTGTCAATTTATTCAAAGTTATTTTTGATAACTTTCAAAAGTAATTATGAAGTTAAATTAAATTTTTTATCTTATCTAATTTTTTATCACAATTTTAATTTAAATATTTTAACTATTTTAAAAAAAGTACATGTGTTATATATATTTTTTTATCCAAATCATCTTTAACTTAATATATTTAATTAAAATTAAAATAATCAAATATATTAGATTTAGTGGACTTACTTATCAATTCATCTTAAAAATAATTAGATAAATTAATAATTTTAGTATGTTCGTTTTTATCCATCTTATCCAATCCACTATATTTATATATTAAACTTAAAATAAAAAGGACTATAATTAAAAATATTATATTTTTTTATGTTATATTATCAAATATATAAATATATTATAATATTATAATTTAAATTATAAAAATAATTAATTAAATTTAAAAATTATTAATTATAATTAATTATTTTAATATATAAATATAATAATGATTTTAATTTATTTAATAAAAATATTAATTAATAAATAAAAATAATTTATATAATTAAAAATATATATAAAATTAATAAAATGGTCTGTTAATATATCAATTCGTCATTTTAATAAAATGGATGAGAATCTTAGCCTATTTTTACTATAATGAGTCACCTCCCGTTCTTATAACAAATTAGAAGTACGAAAATAAGATGGACCATCGTCCCTTATTAAGATACCATTAAAAAAATAATTTAAAACAATATCATTCAACTTGATAATCTATAGATTCACCTGTAAAAATATTGGTCAAATCAGTTGCACATATATACATAAATATAAAGATAAGAACATAAAGACTCACTTATAATTGTAGTGTAGTTGTCATTGTCAATTGAAATTTTGGTCTCCCATTTAATAAAACTGTATATATTAAGTTAATCATGTAAATCATTTTTCTATCTAACTTTTATTAGTTTTAATATATTAAGCTATTTATTCCAAGGGATATTATTAATTCTCAAAAATAATATTATCCGAATTAAACACGGTTATCACAACACATATATTCTATAGTAATTAAAAAAATGTCTAATCCGATTTTTTTTTCTAAAATGTAGTTTTTTTAAAAAGTAATTCGAGGGAAAATAAGAATATGGTAGTAAATGATAGGGTGCTTGAGTTTCAAATATATATTTTCTAATGAGATCCACTATTATTTTAATAATATAAAGCGATTTTTTTTATAATTTAATTTACTATCGATTTTTTAATCTAATCTATTAACTAATTTACTTAATTATATTACATTTATGTTTTTTATAACTTCATTTATATCATTAACTATGTTAAAGTACATAAAAAAGATAATTAATTGTGTTAGTCTATAAACTATATAATAATAATAATAATTTAAAATAATAATAATAATAATAATAATAATAATAATAATAATAATAATAATAATAATAATAATAATAATAATAATAAGGCTTAAGTATTTAACACCTCCATTTATTAATTTTTAATGTAATCAGTATTTGTGTGTTCGTATATAAATTTTTTTAAGATAATCCAGTAACAAGTGCATCACATAATATTTCTTGAGTTAAACCTTTTTTAAATGATTTCTTATTTTTTATTATTTATATAATGAAAGTTGAGGTAACCTGACCAATAACAATCCTTAATTTTTAGGAAACCCGAATATCTTGAACATAACTTAATTAAGACATAAATATATAAAACTATTAAGGTATAAAATATTGGTATTTATTATTTTACTTATATGGGTTAGATAGTGTTTTTTTAAGACATATAAGTAATTAAAATGTATATTTTAATACAAATTGAGATAGAAGATGAAAATTAGCGTTTTTAAAATCAAGGAAGAGATGAGTTTAAGATTCAAAGTTAACTACTTCTATCAGGATTAATAAAATAATAGCGTTTAATAATATAATAATATAAGTAACAATAACTTTTTTTTCTTTAAAATAATAAAAACAACTATAATTATAACAAGAGTAACAAAAGTAATAATCACTAACTATAATAGAGATTACAAATACAAGAATATAATAAAGAGTAAAAAATTATAATATAAAAAAGAGATGAAAAAGACAGTAAAATAATCATAATTATAAACATGATACATAAAAAGAAAAAACTATTATTAACTTGATTTGGATTCATAGGTCAAAATAAATAAGAATGAAAATACTATATATAAGAGTAAAAATAATAAATAAGATAGATTTTGAGAGATTATATAAGGATAATAATAAAAAGGGTTACGAATATTGTTTTAATTTCTTATACAGAATTGTAAAAAAATACTTTCCAGTAATAGCAATTGTTTTGAATAGAAAAAGAGTGTGTTGGAGTTTGTTGGTTGAAAGAAAAGATAAAGTGGGAGTGAGTAATGGTTGTTGTTGTTGGCAAATAGAAGGAGTGCACGTGTGGTGGTGATGCGACGGGAAAGTGATTTGCACATCGAAGCCGAGAATATTGTGGTGTGCTGCTCCCTGCAAAGAGGCCACGTACCCCCTCTCTTTCCAGGAGTGCTGCACACCCTCTCCTCCCTCATTGGCTCCTCCCCATCGCCGTGGGACCAATCACAACGCCCCATCTACGCCTCCCAGATACGCCACTTTTCCCACAAATTTATACAACTCTCCGTTCCAACACTCTCCCTCACACTTCCTTTTCTCCTCCCAAATTCTTTTAACTCCTTCCATTCAAAACACATCATTTATTTTTTTTTAATTTTTATATAATTATTCATACTCACATTTATCTTAAATCTAATATTCTACCAACATTGAGTTTTTTTTTCTATATTTTCAACTTACTAAATTCATATTTTAAGAAATATTGTACAGAATAGTGTGAAAAGACATCTTATTGTGAAAATATAGTGTTGTTAACAAGAATTATTATAGGAATACATGTTTCGAATATTTGTAAAATTTTAAATTAAATTATTAGTTAATATATTTAAGGTTCTAGCAGGTAGCATTTGTCCTTCGAAAAGAGATAAGCAACATACTAAATTTGCTCCAATCACCTTCACTTTCTGTTCCCCCAGTTACCCTAAACACGTGGCGCTCGCTCACCCAGCCACCGTGCTGCCGTTATCATTATCGCTTCCGCTCCATCTCTTAGCACCGAACCCAAGAGAATAGCTAGAGAGAGAAACCAAGAGAGAGAGAGAGAGAAAGAGATCTAACTCTCGCTTTCGCTCGCTATTGTTTCCCCCCTCCGTGACCGTGATGGACGGTGGAGATGTCTGGCGCGTGGCCGCCTGTGCCGACGCCAACTCCGCTTCTCACGTCAACAGAATAATGCTCCGCTTCCGCCCGATCGCGCCGAAACCTGTCGCCGGAAGTTCCTCCGCCGCCGCCTGCGGCGGCGTTGGAGACGTAGCGCAGAGTAGCCAGATGTCAGTCCTCGGGAAGAGACCGAAGAGGAAGTACGTTAGGATTCGGAGGAACAGTGGATACGTGAGAAAAAATGGTAACAATAACGTCAACGGTAACGATAACGATAAGTCTTCCGATGTGGCGGTTGTGACGTTACAGTTGATGCCGGAGAAGGACTCGCCGGGAGGAGACTCGGTGGCCGGAGATTCGTGGTGTAAGAACGTCGATCTTGACCTAACGGTGGAGAAGATTCAGATCGTGGAGAATCGGAATCCGAAGGCGCCGTGCGCGACCTCGGAGGGAGGGAAGGGAGGCAAGGGTTCAGATCTTGTGATAGCGGCGAAGGTGGCGGAGTCGTGGGTGACGGTGGAGAGCGTGACAGGCACGTGCATGGGGGAGGGAGGGGCAGGGTTAGGTTGTACTGACGCCGAGAAGGTGAGGACGCTAGAGAGCGACACGTGTCCGGGGTTTGTGTGCGACGGAAGCTTGAGGGTCCGGTGGGTGAATGAGGCGTACAAGAGGATGGTGGCGAGCGAGGATATCGTGGTGTGGTTGAAGGTGAAGGATAGCGCTAGCGCTGCGTGGTGGTGCTATTCTCACCCGGCGTTCACCTGCGGGGTGAGGTTGCAGTACACGTGGCGGAGCGAGAAGTGCACGAAGATGGTACCCTGTGATGTTTGGAGATTGGACTGTGGCGGGTTTGCATGGAGGCTAGACGTGAAAGCTGCGCTCAGTTTGGGTCTCTGAAAAAAGAAAAAAAAAAAAAAGAAATCAGAGACACAAACACGATATATCCTTTTCTATATACACACCCACCTTAACTTCTTGCTCCAGTTCGGTGAATTGAGGTCAAGTCCCTCTCTGCACAAGGACGTGTTTGGTTAGGTATTATTCCAGTCAGAGTGTTTACTGCTACTACTGTTTAAAGAAAGTTAAAAATTTGGGAAGAAAAAGGGTTTCTAGGTATGCCCTTAATAAAATAGTTGGAGAACGATACTTGTCGTTTAATGATCTTAATCAAGGTTTTGTGGGAAGAAGAGAACAAAGATCTTATAGAAGAAAATAATTGAGTGGATAAGTGAGGAGAAGAAGGGTGGGAAACTTGGGATTGGGATTGGGACGGTGCTTCTTACTCTTTGGTTAGCCTTCTCTTGGGAGTTGCGAGGGCTGAAAAGTAGAAACGTATAGGAGTTAAACATGCAAAGTGCTACTAAAAAGTGATGTGCTTTGTGCTATCTATGTCTTGTAGAACTAAAGCTATATTAGGTGAAGAAGTGTGTGTAACTATCTATGTTGTCGCTACAAGACTTTGCGACTAAGAAAAATCGTGGTAAATATATATGCATATAGTTTAGTATAATGGTCACATGTATCTATCTATATATCTATCTTTGTGTATCATTCTCTTATTGCATGACTAACTAACTTAGCTTGTGTATGCATTAGAGAGAATAATATAGAGAAGAGATATAGATGAAGATAGAGTTTTGTGTCTGTCGTGTATGACTTTGTTGTTTATTTAAGTGGGGGTACATGGAAGTTAGGTAAAGCTCTAAAAGCAATGAAATTTACACTTGTGCATCTTTTCTTTCACAGAAGCTCTCTTTAGATTCGTCATTTTTTAGAGATTTTGCTTAAATTTTTTTCTATTTTTTTATTTCAGATAATTTTCAGTTTCTAAAACACTATTATTATTGTATTCAAAATGTTTTTTATTTTAAAAACAAGTTTTTATAAGAAAAAATATGTAACAGTCTTTCAACATAAAATACAAAAATAAAATCATTTTACTTTTAATTAAATGTGATTTCAAAAATAAATTTACTTTGGATTTGCTATTACCAACTGTGATATTTTATTGGAAAATTTGAAGTAGCCTTTTCAAACCATGCAATTGGAGTTGGCTTATGGATGATTTTTTATTGTAATATCTAAACTTCACAACTCCTTTCAATTTATAGAATGCCTTGATAATATTATTAATAAAAGGAGATATAATAGGATCCATTGTTTTTTTTTTTTCTTAAAAATCATCATCTTAAGAGTGGTTTATTATTTTGCTATGGAATGGTCTTGTATTAATAAAAATTGTGTTGGTCATTAAAATTCAAGTGGTAGTCATATTTAGGCATTTAAATTAAGTAGCATTGGATTATTCATTTTTTACATCTATCTATAATCTATAATTTATCTGATTATATGATGTGAATGTTATTTCATTGTCTTAGTCGTGATGAGTAAACTTCAAATGCAATTTCTAAAGAAAAGAAACTATTCAAATTCTGTTCTTACTCAGCAGCATAATAAGTTCTGTTACTACCATGTATGGCTTCGTGTCAATAGTTTCAAATATATTATTTTCATTCAATAGAAACGTATTAAAAACTCGAGCTGTCGTTATGTGACAACATATTGATTTTGATCTGTTGCTATCATGGAAACTTGTCAACTTCAAAGATAGTCTATAGAAGTCCTATTAACTATTCGCAATACACAAATTCTGATTTCAGAGAATATTTAGTATTTAGTTAGAGAAGTTTAATAAAAAACCACTGTTATTATTATTTTTAAAGGAATTATTCTAAAAAATAATAAATTTATCTTACATAATAAGTTGTAATTAAATGAAAATCTTAAATTATTTTATACTCTTGTTACATACTCTCATTTATCTTAGTTATAAAATATTATATACTTGGAAGCTTAGCTTTTAAATTTATATAATTTTTCATTTATAAAAGAACCTGCATGTTATAGTTTATTTGACACGACCTATTTTTATATTATCTTCAAAATTGCATAGCATTGCCAAATAGATCTCTATGATCGAACTTCACAAATAAGCCCACTGTTTCTAAGTATTTTTTAGTATTATTATAATTTGAAATATTTTTACAGTATTGTTCAATCTTTGCTAATACTATGTTTACTGAGATTGTATATGTTATTAATGCAAAGTAAATTAAGAGTTTTAATATATTTTTTAGCACGACGTAGTGACCTACAATTAATAAACCAATTCTAAATATTTATAACCTGATTATTCAAATAAATATCCTTTTTATTGTCTCCATGTAATAAAATTTTAATAAATAAAAATGTACTTTATTAACTAACGGTTAGTTTATGTGATTTACAGATTTAATTCCCTTAAAATAAAGTCAGTTATAATATTATTCATACAATAAAACATTATCAATCAACAGTAGTTTATTCTGTAATTGTCAGTTTTTTATATATAAATACTTTTCCTAGGTGAAAGTAATATAAAATTTTCTTAATCAGCACAAATAATCTTACGACTATTTTTTGTCTGTCTGTGTTTTTTAAATTATTGGCTTTTTTCCTTAGCTTATGCTGATTTCTTTATTTGTTTTAGTTCGAAAGAAAAGAATATTTTAAAAATACCTTATTGTTTGGATTAGTAAGATTATTTTAATAATCTAATTAGATCATGAAACTAATCTAATTATGATAATATATTATTTTAATTTTGAATTGTAAATATAATCAATCATTTATATTATTATCCAGTATATGAAATAACTTTTGTGTTTGAATGTGTTGGATGAAAAGTGGGTTCGAGATAAACAATCGATTTGTGTTGGAATAGTTTATAATAATCGGCTCCTCCTTGAAAAACCACCACAAAAGTCCTATATGAACTTACTTGCAATTGGTTTTGTATTTAAATTAATCAGTTGCTAGACATATAATGAGAAAAAAAGTTTTCAAAAAAATAAAAATGAACTTTTGATATAAACTATGAAATCATGTTTATCATAAAACCATTTCATTTGTTAAGATTATAGGTTTTTATAATCCTAATTATCAAACACACTTGAAGATTAGCACCACCATTTTTTTCTCTACCAGTTAAATTATAGCCTCTGAAAGTAATCCAATAAAAAAAAAGACTAAATAAAAATATTTTGAAGAAATAAAGAAACTTAATGTTTATTTTGGTATGGATTTTCAGACTTTATCATAGGATACAAACGTGAATAGAACTGTGGTTTTGTATTATTAGAATTGTTGTTAAAATTAAAATAATTTAAAATAAAAAATTTCATCTCAAAAGTATTTGCATGATAATTTTCAAGCTAAAATCCCCTGTCAAGTTATTAAACTCTAAGCTTTTAATATTAACACAATATATATATATATATATATATATATATATATATATATATATATATATATATATTCGTATGATAAAATTAATGTTATATTAACAACTATAAATTTAATTTTTTTGATAAAATCTATATTATCTTTTGTCAATTATAAACGTTTAAAGTCAAGTTTAAGCAAACAAATTAACATAATTTGATGTAGATCGTATTTCTGCTTAAATGACCATTTACACATTTTAAGCAAATAAATTGGATTGTTATATAATTTATTGTCTTAAGATCTCCATCCGTCTTATGACTGTTTAAGCCCAATATTGCATCATTTAAGCAATAAGAATTCGAATGTTAGAGCAATTAAACCAACCTAATTTTCCAAATTTGGTTTAAGCGTGAGTATTTGGTGGCTTAAGTGATCTGACATGGCTTGGTAACTTCTAACTTTTTATATCTCTGTATAAACCCTACCCCACCTCCAAACTTACCACACTAATTTAACTTTTTACATCTCTTTTCTATTTAGTTCTTTCATTGCACTTTTACTTTCATTCACAGGTGAGTTTTGGTTTGTTTTGCTAACTTTTTGTGGTGTAAAATCGTGTTATTAGACATTTTAAATAAATGTTATTTATCGAGTTAATTTTTTCATATCTATTTTTATTTTATTTTATCATACCTATCTTTTTTTTTTTTTAATTTCTCCATACATCTATTTTGCAAGGCAAATTTAAATTTGAAGGGTAATGATAAACCTAACCCTTTGCTTGAGTGAAATTGTTGGATTATATCAAACTTGCTTAAAGTGAACAACTTTGCTTAAAAAGATGATGTACTCGCTTGTATTATTTTGTTTAAGCGTGGTCTCTTATCATCTTAAAATGTAATTGGCTTAAGTGAGTGTCTATCGCTCTATACTAATTAGTTCGCTTAAGTACGAGTGTTTTTCCGCTTAAGTGTCCTTTACTTGGTGTGAGTTAGCCTCGCTTGAAGTTTTAGTTATTACATATTTACTTGTTTGTTTTATTTTGTAGATGATAAGGAGTAAAAAATCACTGTCCAGAGAGGGAGTTCATGAAGGTAAACGTAGTCGGGTTACATTGAGGGGAAACTCGTCTAAAAATAATTATGAGAGAGATAATGATGAAATATCATGAAAAAAAAGGTTTGATTATCTAACAAAGAGAGGATTCAGAGGAGGGTTGAACTACAACAAAGGGAATTTTAGATTTTCACTAAGAGACTTGATGTAAGAAGATGGTGGAAGTTGGCTTAACCAGACAAAAAATTTAGTGAAAGCATAGTCAAAGAATTATATGCTAACGTGTATCATTATAAAGACATACGAGAGGATGGAGAGTATGAGTCACTCATGCAAAGGTTATGTGTTTGAGGTGTCTACATTGATTCTGCTGTATTAGTTATTAATGCATATCTTGAGACGGTTGAATATCCTGTACATATGTATTCAGAGTATAATGATTGGCTCAGGTGTCCAACACCCCTTGTTGAGCTTGAGAACACTTTATCATAAAGAGAGTTCACTTTTGAGTATGAAGGGTTTGACAATGTTACTCCTCTGTGTATTTAAAGGTCAAGTCTGAACATCGTTGCTCA